GATTGCACCAAGGACAGTTGGCTAGAAAAGGAATAGTGACAGTTTATTTAAAGGGGAGTGGGGGAGTCCTGAGAATACAAGTGGGCCAGAGCTGAGGAGACACACCTCTAAAGCCAAGAACTTGTTTTTCTTAAAACTGGCTGGGTGTAACTCCCTCACAGGGCAGGCTGAGAACTGCAGGCCAGCCTGGGCTACATAGCAAGACTCTGTCAAGAAAAAAAAAAAAAAAACAACAACAAAAGTCTCTTAAGGAGTGCTTGGTCTGCTTTTATCTCATGAGACCTAAAAGAACCCAAGTTTATAAATCCTCTGTGAGACACGCCCACAGGAAGCCAGTGGTGAAGACTCTTCCCCTTAAGTAAGACCTTCTCAGTAAGGTATTTCAAGGAACTGAGAGATATTTCTCAGAAACGGCTGTGATTTTATTCCAAGTGCTCCATGTGAACATTTCCAAGATTTCTGGGTTTTCCATCGACTTTTAACTTCTGTACGAGCGACCGGTGCTCTTAACCACTGAGGCATCTTTCCAGTCCAAGATTTTAGCACATTTTATTTGATTTCACTTCATTTCATTTCATTTGTCTGTGTTGGCCACATGTGTGCAGGTCCCCAAAGAGGCCAGCAGAGCTGGGGATGGAACTTAAGAGAAATAGTTAGAAATTTTCAGAGTCAAAACTCTGTCTTCTGCTGCTTGTGTAAGGTCCAACTCGGACTCTCAGGTTGGGCTCTTAGGGTGTTTGCTTTTCTGTACCAACATGTGACAGAGCCCTGCAATCCAGGACAGAGTTGGAGGAAATTTTAAAGGTCTATTAAAGTGTATACAAAATAAGCAGCAAAGTCTCACAGCAAGTCCAAGTGTGAAAGGGAAGCCCCTGGTTCAGTTTAAGGAACTGGCCAGGGCAGTGGTAGTGTACACCTTTAGTCCCAGCACTCTAGAGGAAGAAGCAGACAGATCTCAGAGTTCAAGGCTAGCTATGGTCTACAGGGCAAGTTCCAGGGCAGAGAAACCAGGTCTTGGAAAAATCAAGGAGGAAAAAAATTTAAGGAACCGATTTCTGTCCTTCCTCTCGGTGACCCCTCCTTGTGATCTGACATCTTCAAGGTCACTCCTGAAAGTGCCTGAGCCATGCCTTTGCCTGAGGAATCAGACTCCGGGTTGGCTGGCTGTCAGCCTCAGCTATGGAACCTGAGCTCACAGTAAGGAAAACAGCACCTGCCTTCGGGTGGAGAAGACCTAAGCTTGGAGTCTAGCTCTGCCTCTTAACTAACCTGGCTATCCTGGACCACTCTTTACCTGCATGAGGTGGGAGCACTTCATGACCATCCTGACACCCCACCCTAGGTGTCTGTGTAGCTGTGCACCACCACCAGTGTATGTAGTGCTAAAGGTCAAACCCAGGGTCCTGTGCGTGCTAGGACTTCATTCTACCAGCCGCTCACATCCCCAGTGTTCTTCAGCTCTGTGCTTTCACCCTGGGCCCCAGGCTCTGCCTCTGCACCCCCATCCCACCCAGCCCTCACACAGAGCATGCGCTCCAGTGGAACCTGAATTTCCTGTAGATCTGCGGGAAGCATTATCTCCCTCGTGCCTTCAAAAATAAAGAGAATGCTACTTAGCACACTTCTAGCAGTGGAGTGCACCTTACACCCCTGACAAGAATCGCTATCTGATCTCTCATCTTCTGGAGAATGCAGCTCCGGTAACATGGCAGCAATGTGCAGATGAGGAAGTGGCTCTCTCTTTACTCCTGGCTCCTTGGCCCTCTCTCTCTATGACTCACACAGCCTGGCCACCCCAAGGGACTCCTGGTTCCTATGTTACTTTCTGCAAGGCAAGGAGCAGTCTCAAAGGAAGAACAGCTGTTCTGAGGGAGCAGGGGTCCAGGTGATGGCAGTGGGTGCTACCCAGTTCCAGCTTCGTCTGAGTTGAGGCCCTTGCATGCTTCCTCTCGCCACCTGCTGTGGCATGACCTTGGTAGGGACAGAATGACACGATGCCTGTCCCTGGGACAGGGCCAGCAGGCATGGGCCTCCATGAGAGTCGACGGCTGCTGCAGACGTAAGACTTGTTTGTATAACAACGAACATATTTTCATGTTACTCCAAGGAATGTCCTCCCTGCTAATGTTAATGACTCCATGATAATCAGAGACACCTTGAGTCCAGGAGGGGCAGGTGTGACTAATGGCTCAGCAAAATGGTATACACTGGAATCTTCAGGATAGCCTTTAAGACTGTGGAAAAGAACTCTAAAAACATGAGTTCAAAAATGTATAATTTCACTTTCTGCCTTCTCTGCAGCCATGGTACCTGTGAAAAATCTTGTGAAGAAGTGAGAGAGAGAAAAAAAAAAGCAGGTTTTAAAGTTCACCCTCAACTGCCCTCACCCTGTAGAAGATGGAATCACGGACACTGCCAATTTTGAGCAGTTCCTCCAGGAGAGAATCGAAGTGAACAGGAAAGCCTGCAATCTTGGTTGGAGGGGTTGTGGCCATCGAGTGGAGCGAGAGCAAGATCACTGTCACTTCCAAAGAGCCTTTCTCCAAAAGGTATTTGAAATATCTCAGCAAAAAATATTTGAAGAAGAACAATCACCGAGACTGGCTGCATGTTGTTGCCCACAAACAAAGAGAATTACCAGCTGCGTTACTTCCAGATTAACCAGGATGAAGAGGAGGAGGAGGAGGAGGAGGAGGAAGAGGATTATGAAACATTGGTCTGCAATGTTTTGTATTAATTCATGAATAAAATTTAGAAGCAAAGTATAATTTCTCAACTATGCAAAAATATAAGCAACATGTTGCATATAAAAATATAAGCAACATGAATTGTATGAGGAGCTTCACAGATGTAAAGGACAGAGGCAGCAACACGAGGAGCCAGCTTCTGCCAGAGAGATGCAAAGACAGGCAGATCCCTGAGTTCAAGGTCAGCCTGGGACAGGGCAAATTTAGGTCCAGGAATGGTGGAAAATGGTACTCTCAGGACAAGGTTCCACCCAGCTAAGTTTACAAAGGCAGGCAGATCTCTGAATTCTTTTGCAATGTTAAGAAAAGAGGGGGAAAAATGTACTTGTTATCCTTTTCCTATGAGTCAAGGGACTACGGTCACAGAATGCTGATTCCCGGATCCTCAAGAGGGAACCTGGAATAAACAACTGAGTTGATATGTAAGTTTAACAACTGGGCTTTTGGTCTGGATGAGATGAGCTGGCAAAAAGTGACAGCAGGTCTTAGAATTTTTCTCTACCAAGAGCTGAGCTGTCTGAAGATGTCTGGAGAGGGAATATGACTCTTCAAGAATTTTTTTCCTAACAGGATTCCTGATTTTAGTCGGGAAATCCATGGAGAGTAAACACAGCTCTTTTAGAATTGTTTTCTAATGGGATTTCTAACCACCAAGAATTACTTGGAGAGCCGACATCACCCTTTTAGAATGGTTTCTAGCAGCTGTCCAGAGAAGGCTATCTGAAAATCAAACGTACCTCTTTTAGATTTTTTTCCTTTCTGATTTTGATTGGAAAACCCAAGAATTAATTTTAGAAATTTTCAAACAGAATTTCTGACTTGATCAGAAGATCCAAGAATTTTTTCTGACTTCAGTCAGAAAGCCCATGAGCTCTCCAGAGAGCTTTTAGAATGTTTACTAGCAGAGAGATCTGTCTCTAGCAGAAAGCTAGCTGTCTCAACCTGAGAGCTTTTAGAATAGCAAGAAAAAGCTGTCTAGAGCAGAGCAGAATACACACACACACACACACACACAGAAAGACGGAGAGAGGAAAAGCGTAGGGGAGGGGAG